TTTTGACCATCGAATCAGATAAAACTAAATTCAGGGGAAATGTATGAAATCCACTCGCAAAACTTCAGTCAAACAGGCCAAAATTGAAAGAAATATTGATGCGCATTGCGTTAAATCCGTGTTGTTGATCCGTTAACTAAACATTGTATGACGTTAACAATCTGATTGTTCCTGTGTGATACAAAGATCTGCGCAAGATTCCACAGTTAAATTTTCCTCCTCAAAGAATGGCCTCGAGACTACGATTCCAGCGGCTAAGTCATTCTTGTCTTCAGAGTGACTCGTTCCAAGCTCTTGATAGTAACTGTCGAGTTTTGTTTCTTGCTGTTTGTAGCTATGCCCGCGACCGTTCTTTATCACGGTTAACAGACGTTGTTTTTGTAGTTTATATTTTTCTTTTAGTTCCAAAACTAAGTCGCACATTTGAGTCTTGAAGTCTTCTACAAGTTCTCTAAATTCGGCCAATAAAAATCTTTGCCTTTCTGAAAAAAAAAAATTAATAACAATATCACATGTAGTAGATTGTCTAACTTGCAAAAAAAAAACTTACAAAAAGCTGTGTCACGTTCCATGAGGAACTCCGGTCTGTCTAAAACAAAGTAAGGCGTGTCCTTCTTTGTTTTAAAGGCTTAATATGTGGATATACGTGACCTAAGACACGTTTAGCGCGCCGTGTAAGTGTGTTGTGAACGTGCTTTAACCTTTAACATCAAAATCCTGTGAAGGGTCTCATATTGGTCTCATATATTAAAGTTAAAGTAATGTTATTTATAGTAGCAAGAGTAGCTTATATATCACCCTATCGTTAACCCCTAAAAATCCTCAATTTCTCACAACAATATTCAAAGATCATTGAAAGAAATGTGTACCATCCATTTAATTACTAGACCATATGACGCGTTTACTGCCTAATAGACCTTCATTCCAGTTAGCCTGTTTCAGGCCCAAAGATAGTAGTGCAATCGTGCAGTAAAAATTGATGCAAAAAAAAACGCGCGGGGGCTGGGGAGAGAGAGGGCTGAGGCCTGTGCCCAGGCCACCACTTTACCAGCAGCAAATTTGAAGAGTGTATCGAGTTACCTTGCGAATGAGGTTCAACCTTCCTTTTCTTTCGAATACGATACATAACTTCCCAACAGAGACCCAATATTATTCCGCAACTTAACATTGCCATTGATATCATCATGGTCTTCTTGAACAGTTCACTATTGGCGTCGAATAATCCAGTGGAGCGCTCCACTTCTAACGGTTCCTTAGAAACCTGAAAAACGAGGACAGTGGGGGTAGAGAATGATTTTAGCCAGGAGAAAAAAGAGGGTTAGTGTTGTTTAGGGCTGTGGACAGGGGTGAATAAGTTGGCCAGGCTGGAAATTAAACTTGAAAAAAAATCAAGTTTCAATCCAAACCACGCAAAATGAATCGAGCAACATGTTCCTT